GGGTTTCACCGTGTTGACCAGGATGGTCTCGATCTCTTGACCTCGTGATCCACCCGCCTCGGCCTCCCAAAGTGCTGGGATTACAGGCGTGAGCCACCGCGCCCGGCCCGCATTTTATTTTATTTAAATATTTTTTCAATCCCACCTCCAATCTGAATAGTTCACATTTTAACTAAGTCCTAGAATAACCTAAATTTTGGAGGCAGAGTTCCCAATGTCAGCAGACCATTTATCACTGCCTGATGAAATACAAGTAGATTATTCCACAGTTGGTTAGCTGGCCCAGGATAATAACCACCACCACCACAATAAGTGCTAACATGTATTGAACACTTATTGTATATCAGTCATTTCTGTGACTGCTTTACATGTTTAATCACAACAACTTTATGAAGCAGATATTTTTGCTATCCCTATTTTTTTTCTTTTTTTTTGAGATGGAGTCTTGCTCTATCACCCAAGCTGGAGTACAGTAGTACAATCTCAGCTCATTGCAACCTCTGCCTCCCGGGTTCAAGCAATTCTCCTGCCTCAGCCTCCTGAGTAGCTGGGATTACAGGCGTGCACCACCACGGCCAGCTAATTTTTGCATTTTTAGTACAGATGGGGTTTCACCATATTGGCCAGGCTGGTCTTGAACTCCTGACCTCGTGCTCTACCCACTTTGTCTTCCTAAAGTGCTGGGATCACAGGCGTGAACCACCGCACCCAGCCTACTATCCCTATTTTACAGATGAGGGAAATGAGGTATAGAGAGGTTAAATAACTCGCCCAAGGTTATACCAGCTAGAAAGTAGCAGTCTGAGTATTCAAACTCGAAAATCTTGGTTCCAGTGAGTATTCTTTTATGCAATACTGCTGGCTTAAGGAAATATAGCCCTTATAACCATTCTCAAGCCTGTGCTTCTAGTGAGCACATCATTGCCAGATTCCTTTTTCAACCTACAATACTATGTATATACTATGAGTAACAGAAGCCAGGGCATGGGGGTTAGAGAGAAAATTTCTCTTTTGAGGCTTTACCTGGGTATAAATGATTTTTGGAGGAACTATATGCTGGGATGGGAAGTAATGCAATGGGAAGCAGTTGGGGGACTTTAAAAAGAAGCAGGCCTCCATGGGTTTCTCATGCTCCTTCACATCTTGCTAGGTACACCAAGATTGTGAAACCCTGACTGCTCTTTACTTGGGCTATTTTTCAGGACTCTGCTTATAGCAAGAAATCTTGAGAGATGAGGTACTGTCTTCACTCAGATAAAGAACAAGCTTGCTTCAGCTTGTTCTAAAACGGCAAGTTCCACAAGCTGCATGTTCTATAAGTGTTCCTCTGTTGTGAAGCAACCCATGGCCTATGCAAGTATCTACCTTAGCCCTCTGCGTTGGACTTGGGAGGAGGCAAGGAGAACTAATAAAGACATGATGCTCATGCTACTTGCTGTGCTATGAATAATAAAGTCCTTTGTCTCTGATCTTGAAGTCTCTTGACTTCTGCCAGCATCCATGAAACAATAAGTGGCTAATTTATTAGTTGTAAGTAGGCTAAAATCAAACTCCAGACTGGACACTGTATTCTAGAACGCTTCCTCTCATCCCCTACGTTTTCCTTATGTAGCCAACAGTGTAAAGAGGGAAAGAGATATTAACCAAATCTCAAACAGATGTAAAATTGCAGCTGTGATCAAGTTCTATAAAGGAGTGATGGATGTCAGAGTATCTGACCTAGTTAAGAAGGTCAAAGAAAGCTACCCTGAGGAGGCAATATCTAAGTTCAGGTATGACTAGGAATTCACTAGGCAAGAGATGAGAGGACAGTATTCTGAGCATTAGGAGCAGCATATACAAAGGCTCGTGACAGCAGGGAACATGATGAATAAAGGGACTTGATCACTGTGGCTATGAAAGAGTGAGTGAGGGGAAGGGTAATGTAAGATGAGGTTGCAAGAAGAGGCAGGGACCAGACCAAGTAAGGCCTTTTAGGCCATGTTAGAATCGAGTATTGGCTTTATCCTAGAGCAATAGGAAGCAATTGGAAGACTTTAAAAAGAAGGAGGGATTCTTCTGAACTCAGCTCCGAGGAAAAATAACTTTTATTTTATTTTATTTTATTTTATTTTTAAAGATGGAGTTTCACCATGTTGGTGAGGCTGGTCTTGAACTCCTGACCTCAGGTGATCTGTCCACCTTGGCCTCCAAAGTGTTTGGATTACAGGCGTGAGCCACCACGCCCGGCTGAAAAATAACTTTTAAAAAAGAGATGGGGCATGGTGGCTCACGTCTGTAATCCCAGCACTTTGGGAGGCCAAGGTGGGCAGATCACCTGAGATCAGGAGTTCAAGACCACCTGGGCCAACATGGAAAAACCCCATTTCTACTAAAAATACAAAAATTAGCTGGGTGTGATGGCACGTTCCTGTAATCCCAGCTACTCAAGAGGCTGAGACAGGAGAATCACTTGAACCGAGGAGGCAGAGGTTACAGTGAGTCAAGATTGCGCTACTCCAGCCTGGGCGACAGAGCAAGACTCTGTNAAAAAAAAAAAAAAAAAAAGGAGGGATGAGATCAGTTTACTTTTAGAAAGGATCACATTGACTCTAGGATTCCAAACATTTCAAATAGTTTTAGCTAAAGCCTCATAATAATAAATTATCATTATCACACGTGCTCTCCAATATCTTACAAGAAACTGACCACTCTCCCTTTTCAGTTTTTTTTTTTTTTGAGACAGAGTCTCGCTCTGTCACTCAGGCTGGAGTGCAGTGGCACGATCTCAGCTCACTGCAACCTCTGCCTCCTGGGTTCAAGGGATTCTC